AAAGAGAAAGGTGATGGTAGAGGTCGTCATGGTGGTCGTGGTAGAGGTCGTCATGGAGGTCGTGGTAGAGGTTAGAGCATAGGTTTTCACAAAGGTGGCAGCATAGGTCATCACAGAGAACTTGGTAAAGGTTACAGCAGAGGTGGCAGTAGAGGTTACAGCAGAGGTCATCGCAGAAGTCGTGGCAGGAGCGGCGAGGTCACGAGGTTACAACAGAAGTCACAGAAGAGGTCGTGGCAGAGGTTACAGCAGAGGATTTCACAGCTCCAGGTCGTGGTAGAGGTCATTATGGAGGTTGTCGCAAAGGTTACAGCATAGGTGGTCATGGAGGTCACAGCAGAGGTCGCGGCAGAGGTGACAGCAGGTCATCACGGAGGTCACAACAGAGAACGTCACAGAGGTTACGGCAAAGTTCGTAACAAAGGTCATGGCAGAGGTCACAGCAACAAAGGTCGTCTAAGAGGTCGTGGCTGGAGTCAACACAGAAGTTATGGCAGAGGTTACAGCAGAAGTCACCATTATCACCCTTTAACTAGTATTATAATGCCATTATAACCCCCTAACCAGTGGTATAAGGCCATTACAATCCCCTAAACAGTATTATACGGCCATTACAATCCCCTAAACAGTATTATAAGGCCATTACAATCCCCTAACCAGTAGTATAAGGCCATTATAACCCCCTAACCAGTAGTATAATACCATTATAGCCCCCATAACCAACAGTACAATGTCATTACAACACTTAACGAGTACACGGCCCTTCGACACAACCCCTCGCACGACCCCTCGCGCGACCCCATGACCTCTGACCCCGCACATACCTGTCGGACATCGCAGACTGGATCTCCTGGCGCAGCGTCTCGATCTCGTGCATCTGCTGCCTCTTGTCCTGGTCGAGCGCTGTCGTCTGCTTGCCCGCCTGTACGATCTCCTCCTGTAGTCGCTCCATCTCCTTATGAACCGTGTCACGCTCCGACATCACCTACATGCGCGCGCGCAGAGAGGAAACAAGTGAGCATGCGAGCGACATCACCTACACAACATCATCAAACAAGTGAGCATGCGAGCGACATCACCTACACAACATCATCAAACAAGTGAGCATGCGAGCG